ATGTTTGATAGTCTTTTAAACATAATTTTTCTTATATGTGACACTTATTTAGCACCTCTAAATTCTTGGTTTAAGGATTTTGGTTATAAAAAGGCCTTAGTTTCTCCCAGAATACCATTGATCGATACATTTTATTACAAAAGACAAACAAAAAAGTGAGAAAGTTGAGCAGAAAGTAGTCACAGGAGTAAGACTGGATAAGCAAGCCCTCAAGCAGAACTGCGTGCTAGATCAGGGTTTGACTCTGGAAAGTTAATTCACATCTTTCTTAACTTCAATCTGTTTACATGTAGGCATGTAATAATTTAGGTTATTTTTGAAGACCCGTTTTGTTCTCTCACTCCATAGTTGTCAACAAAAAGAAATCGTGAAACAAAGAGGCTGCAAAAGTAAAACAAATGCGTTTTGGATAAACATTCACTTCTATAACATAGGAGAGTCCTTTATGTCTAAAATTCAAACAAATGAGGGGGGGAAAAAGAAAGGATGGGAAAAAATACAAAGAAGATAGGTCCCTTGAATCCATATTTTCTTCCCTGAGTCTTCACTCAAATCTGTCAGAAAACAGAATATTAAGATACCTCAATAGATTTGTTGTTGTTGACTGTCCACCAGTCAAGTGTGACTTATAATGATCCTATGGACAACAGATCTGGGCCTTGTCCTAACCCATGCCATCCTCCCACATACTTGAACCCATTGATAGAGTTATTATGTCACTCTGTCTCTCTGACCATCTTCCTTTCTTTGTCTGACTCTACCTTTCCAAGAATGTCTTTTTTCCAACAACTGGCCCCTCCTGACAACATGCCCTTCTGAAGTTTTACCATCCTTGCCTCTAGAGACAGCCTGGTTACATTTCCCTGAAGACAAATTCATTTGTTGTTTCGGCAGTCCATCAGTACTCTTCTTCATCCCCATGGTTTAAAGGCACCTCTCTTCTTCTTTCGTCCTTACTTATTGTCCAACTTTAAGATGTATAGGAAGAAATTGAAAAATACCATGGCTTGGATAAGCGCCATCTTGGTCTTTAAGTGCTTGTTAGCATTTGTTGATTGCACAAATCATAGTGACCCTATGAACAAAAGGCCTGAAGCCTTTCTAAAACTATAGACCTTTGTCAAAGTTTATAGTTTCCGGAGGCATGTTGTTTAGGAAGTGGATGCCACTCCTGGAGAGGGGAAATCTGATTTTCCCAATGCAACACATCTTTGATTTCTTGACCATGGGTGTGTATGGTAGATCCAAGTAAAATTAAATAGCTAATAACTTCAGTCATTTCTCCATCTATCATTATGTTGCCTATTGCTCCAATGGTGAAGATTTTTGGTTTTGTGATGTTGAGATGTAATCCATATAATTTTTGTTCTTCTGAAGCAAGTGCTTCAAATCTTCTTTCTTCCCTACCTACAAACAAGGGCATGTGAACTCCATAATGCAAGTTATGAGTCTTTCTCCACTGTTGATAATTCTTCTTCATATAGTCCAGCTTCTCTACTTATTTGTTCAGCATGCAGATTTAATAGGTATAAAGAAAGGATACAACTTTGGTATAAACCTTTTCTGATTTTAAACCATGTAGTGTTCCCTTGTTCTGTCTGGACAACTGCTTCTTGGCCTATCCCATTCCTGACACACCCAATAGTTAGTTTGTTGTTATGTATGGAATCAACTCCTAGCTGAGCTTTCAGAGGAAGTACCCATCTTCCCCCTTGGAGAAGCTGGTGGATCTGAACCATTTTGCTTTGTATGGCAGTACAGCTCCTATTAGCCTGTTGTTTTTGTATACCATTGAGTCAAAACCAACCCATAGCTGACCCTCCTGTGGGTTTTAGAGGTAGTAAACCATACAGCAGGTGATTGCTCATCTTTCTCTCATGGAGCAACTGGTGGATTTGAACTGCATACCTCTGGGTTGGCAGTACAATTCCTTACTACTAAGCTACCAGATCTCACAACTTAACCACAACAAACCACCAAAGCTCCTTCCAATAGATTGTTGTTATGTGCTGTCAAGTCAACTATTCCACAGTAGACTAACATCTTTCTCCTGCAGAGTCACTGGTGGATATGAACCCACAATGAGTCATATAGCCTTTGTATTAGTAGTGCAACTTTCTGTGGACTAGACCGGAACTACCTAATGTTTACTTCCTAAAATAAGTAACGCTTATTCTTCTGCTTAACTTAAACTAGTTTCCTCCATTGTCTTTGTCTTATACAGAGGAGATAGATGATCAGTAGGTAAATTTAATCAACTAACAAAATAAATGCATTCCATTCTCCTTTGATATGTAGAGCCTTTTTTAAAAAATATACTAGCTTATTTACAAAATGTAAATACATTGTTTTCCAGAACAGATTCTTCCAATTTCCCTCACAAGTTGTGCTATTACCCCAAAGGCTGTACATTCCTGGTGGTTCAAATTCATTGGTGCCTCTGAGGAAAGATGATGAGTAGCCTCCTTCTTTTTGCAGTTTAGTTCCAATGGAGGGCCACTATGAGTCAGAACCAACTCTATGGCTGTGGATGTAATAATAAATAATTGAAGATAAATTCCAAATTCCACCCAGGATAAAGCAGGCAAGACACTAAATTTGGGATCCGAGTGTGGAATATGAAAAATTAAGTGCAGTATCAGAATTGGCTGCAGAGATCTCACAATGTATGGGAACCTAGTGATCACTGAGTGGGATTGAGGGACATGAAGGCTAAGAGACTACGCAGGTTTCAAAAATAGAGCGAAAACAGATATTACTAGGAGAAACAAACACCACAACTTGGTGCTTATTTGCATAACAATAGCTGGAATTCTTTGCCAGTTCTCCACTTTTTCAGAATATTGAAAGGACTTTTAAAAAACAACACAAAACAAAACATCACCAATTTTGGGATAGCTTGGCACAACCCTCTCTCTGTCCTTGAGTGTTTACTGCCAGGAAATCCTGACCAACATTGACTGCCAAGGCGTTAAAGTCACATTGTTGTTAAACTGGGAGAAAAAAGAAATAGCAGGATTTTATGCCCTGTGTTCAGCTATCACAGGGCTTCAAAAACAGGAACCTGGGCTTTATAGGAGGGGCAGGGAAAATAAAGGGAAAGAGTCAGGAGGGTGACCTATCAGGGCATGGTTCCAGATAAATCACTTACATAGAGACTGTCACCTTCTGTACCAAGAAACCAAATGGTGGAGCAGAAGCTCATTAGGAAATTGAAGTGGGCAGTTCAGTGCGTATTCTTCCCACCAGTGGAGGGGCAGGATTTTAGATGCTGGTCTTTGTACTTGTGCTGGATTAGTCTTATCATATTCCCATGGCAGATAATACAAGCAGTATTTCAACCAAGATACACTATAATACACTATAAATGTCCTAGTGGGAAAACCTACCTTTTATCTAAGTTCTGTAAAAGCATCACTATGCATCCAAATTTCCTGAGTAGAGTCTACCTTAATTGGAAAAACTCTGTAATTTATAATATCTATGACTAACTGCATGCATTGCCCTTTTCCCCTCTCCTATTAATGAATATCATTTGGGAAAGGGTGGGAGAATATACACATTCTCTAAACTCAGTAAGCAAAGTTTGTTAAAAGAAAATTTGTAGTGTCTCTTCTTTTGGAGTTTGCTAAACAGTACAACTGAAGTGAATTTTTGCTGACAAAAGTAAGAATTTCTAAAATAAAGCCAGAGGGACAGCGCAGGAGGGGAAGGCCCTCTATGAGGTGGATTGATTCAGTGACTGGGATAATTGGGATGGGAGTGTCAGAGACAGTGCGATTGGCACAGGATAGAGCACGGTTTAGGGCTATTGTACATAGGGTCGCTATGAGTCGCAAACGACTGGACGGCACATAACAACAACAACAACAACAAATTATGTTAGAACACTATGTAAATTTAGAAATACTTTTTCTAGCTAAGGCCCCTTAATATTAGGGGTGTGGGGGTTTTTTATTCTTCCTTCAGTGCAGTACAGACATTGCAGTTTGATTAAAATCATAGTCAAAATAGTCATAGATATGAAAAAAAATCTAGAATATCCATGCTATTGCACACCTTCGTTCTTATAGCTCAAAAGAGAATTGTCACCATCCCTGGTCACAATAAAAGTGATTTTTAGTCTATCAGAAACACTTTGTTCAGTGTACATACATGCATACTTGCACATACTCCCATAATATATGCACACTCATACAAACACATACACACACCCATAAGTATACATCCACAGTTTCTGGGAGAGGCAATTAGAATTTCCTCAAAAGAAATTCTAAACATTCTCAAAAGAAATCCCCTCAGCTAAGAATTTGATGCCTACAGAAGATACATTACTATTTTGTTTTGTTTTTAACTTTCTACTAATTTATTTACAAAATTAGAATACATTGTTTTCAAGAACAAATTCTTTCAATTTCCCTCATTCCCCTACCCAGCAAATTGTGCAACCCCATGATTAATCCCCCCTTTGCCTTGCTAATCCTCATCTTTCTGCTTCCAACCTCTCCTACCCTTCTTGGATCCTTACTCTACAATAATGGTTTTACATAATATTTATCCTTGTGGGCCTGAGTTAGTTCACTCAGCATAATGCTCTACAGCCCAAGTCAGGTAATAATTTACAAAATCTTAAGGACCACTATACCTTTGTTGAAGTTCATGTGGATATTTTCAATCCTAAATTTATAAGATGATTTTTATGGAAATAAGGTTATTATTTTATTCCATTTACAATGAATGTTATATTCTTTTTAAAGTCAATAGCATAAGACTCCCCACCTAACAGATAAGAAGACAAAGATTGATGAGAGAAGTTTACCCCAATAGATGCTTAAGAGGAATAATAAGTGTAGTTTCTTATTATTAAGTGTCTTTAGCTTTAAGGATTATGTTGTTGTTAGCAATACAAATGTGTGTAAAGAAATGGTTTTCTAAATGGACATGGTATTTGCTATCAATTTGAAATCTCCGATTCAACCACTTTTTTCTCTCATTTGCAGCCATTTGTTATCTATGACATGAATTCCTTAATGATGGGAGAAGATAAAATTAAATTCAAACACATCACTCCCCTGCAAGAGCAGAGCAAAGAAGTGGCCATTCGCATCTTTCAGGGGTGCCAGTTCCGCTCAGTGGAGGCTGTGCAAGAGATCACAGAGTATGCCAAAAACATTCCGGGTTTTGTGAACCTTGACTTGAATGACCAAGTAACTCTGCTCAAGTATGGTGTCCATGAGATCATTTATACGATGCTGGCGTCTTTGATGAATAAAGATGGAGTTCTCATATCAGAAGGCCAAGGCTTCATGACAAGGGAGTTTTTAAAGAGCCTGCGGAAGCCCTTTGGTGACTTTATGGAGCCCAAGTTTGAGTTTGCTGTGAAATTCAATGCACTGGAATTAGATGACAGCGACTTGGCAATATTTATAGCTGTCATTATTCTCAGTGGAGGTAAGACTCATATTTTGATCTTCCACCAGAAAGAGAAGGATAGTGGGGATGACTAGAAGAATTTTTACTTTTTCTTGGTTGTAATGTCTATTCCTCTTCAATCTATATGTGCTGTAGTTTTCAAATGGCATAAAACAGTGACTGTCAGTGAATGTGTTGCATACCAGGGAGAAATCAGAACTTTGCTGTGGGGTAGCCCAGCCTTGATTTCTTTTTCCTGCTCACTGAAATCCAAACCTGGAAGGCATATGACGAATGACTTCTTCTCTTCTTTTTTTTTTAGTTCTCCTTTGTCCTTCTCCTTTCCATTCTGAAGTCTAATCCTATTTCAGAAACTATATATATAACTTTGCTTAAGACAAAGCTTGTTGCAGGTATAGAAAGACAAAGCTTATTGCAGGTACAGAATGTACTACTGAGTGATTCTAGTCAAATTATGTTCCTGCCTCACTATCAGTAAGATGAGATTTTGAATTACTTTCCCAATATCTGGAATGACTCTTTTCTTTCCTTCTTTTCTTTTCTTTTTTTTCATTTTTTTATTTTGATTCATTCATTGTTGCACATCTTCATAGATTGCTCTGAAGTACCCTTGTAAGTTGCTAGCTATGATTAAGAATGTAATCAGAATTAAAGAACACATGACAGAAAAGAAATTGAGTTACCTAGGGAGCTCTGGTGGCTGAGTGGTAAGAAGTTGCACTTCAATTCCAAAAGCATGTGGTTCATATCTACCAGCTGCTCCAGAATAGAGAGAGATGGGTAATCTCCTCCCATGTCTCTAAAAACCCACTGGACAGCCAGCTATGAATTGGTTCTGACTTGAAAGCACACAATAGCAAGTAATTTATTGTGACTTTGAATTTGCAAGTAGCTAAGTATCCATCTAGCTAAATGCTACCTCCATTCATCTGTCATATGTAGTACTCTGTATAACTAAAATACACTGTCTAAATAGGGTTTCATGTTTTGATCAAATATGCTGCACACAAGTTCAGTATCTTTTTGGGATTTTTTAAAAGTAACAATGAAAAGGCAAATGAAACCTTGACTTTCTGAGACATTCAATCACTTCAGCAAAGAGAAAGAGACCGAGTTTGTTTGAAGTAAATTGAGAGGGGGAATGTTGTTGTTATGTGCCGCCGAGAGGGGCAATATTACATTTTTAATTCAATATTAATTTAGTCACATTCAAAAAGAAGTTAGTTTATAAAACTAGAAAAATAACTGTTACCATTTCCCTCTAATAGTTCTTCTAAGTATACTCTATAAACAAGCTTTACCTTTTTTATTTCTTTTCACAGTTATTCACTTTACCTTTTATTTCACTTACCTTTCTTTTTTCACAATTATTTTCCCATGTTACTATTTTCTCTTTAACATTTTTACTAGTTAGATTTTATTTAAAAAGAAGTAACACTCAATTATTTACTTTCATAAAAGTAAAGGTTTTAGTCCTTAGAATAAAATAGAATTAACAAAATCTTGTGTCTTCTACCAAATACTAGTACCGAAATGTATGTGCCAGCATGCATATATTTAATACATAACCTTTGAAAAACTATTGTAACTGCTCTAAAATATTCCAATTTACAATTGAGTCATTGCTTCCTAGTTTTGTTTTGCTTGCTTGCAATCTATTCTTGAACTGTGAAGGTGCATTAACCTACCCATAGCTGTTGAGTCAAATCTGACTCATGTGGTTCCTCTGTTGGGTTTCTGCAGATGTACATCTTAATGGGAAGAGACTTTCTCATCTCTCTCCTGTAGAGTGGTTGGTGGATTCAAACTACCAACCTTTCAGTTAGCTGCCCAACACTTAACCTAATGTACCATTGCTCTTATTGTCAGCTGTTGGGTCAAAAACGACTGATAACTGGCCCTCCAGTGGGTTTTCAGAGGCAGTAAATTGCACAGGAGGAGGTTGCTCATCCTTCTTCTACGGAACAGCTAATGAGTCCAAACCTTTGGGTAGTGCAGCCTCTTACCACTAGGCCATAAAAGAGATCTCTATATATAGGTTTTGTTGTAGTTGTTGTTAGGTGCTGTTGAGTTGGGTACAACTCATAGAGACACTATGAACAGCAGATCTGAACCCTGTCCTATCCTGTGTCATCCTCACAATCTCTAACACCCTCAAGCCCCTTGCTGTGTCAATCCACCTTATTGAGGATCTTCTTTTCCTTCTCCATCTCTTGCCTTCCCAAGCATGATGTCCTCTCCAAGGAATAGTTTCTCCTAACAACATGCCCACTGTATGTGAGATGAAACTGCATCATCTTTGCCTCCTAGAACATTCTGCTTGCACCTTCTCTAAGACATTTCTCTTTGTTCTTTAGGGAGTCAGTGGGACCTGCTCCTTGGAGGCAAGGATTCTGGGTCTTCGTCTGACATACTTTGGACATGTTGCCAGGAGGGACGGGTCCTTGGAGAGGGACATCATGCTTGGGAGGGTGGAGGGACAGTGCAGGAGGGGAAGACCCTCTATGAGATGGATTGTTTTGGTGACTGGGGTAATCGGGATGGGTGTGTCAGAGGCAGTGCGGTTGGCGCAGGATAGAGCAGGGTTTAGGGCTGTTGTGCATAGGGTCGCTATGAGTCGGAAATGACTCGATGGCACATAACAACAACAACAACATGATATGGTAAATTATTGAAAATATGTTCTAATTTTTGCTCTAGTACATATTTTTATGTGTAAATCTCTGTCAATATTTCAGGTTAATTATTTTTAAATTCTAAATTACTAAAAGGGACATTCTAGGTAGATGACAAGGGCATGAGATGACTATGAGCCATTTGTTACATCATTATCAAATTGCTTTCCACAGTTTGTAGCAATTTATATTCTTACCATAGATATTAGCAGATACAAATGGAAACATTTGAGATAAATCCTTCAAAGATGTGAACTAGGAAAGACTGATTAGTTAAGCACTTGACTGCTTATTGACCAGAATCATAAAAGCTAAATCCTTCCTGGATCAAGGTTTGCTTTGCCAGATGAAGCCTACATACAAGCAATAAATAGGGATGAATACAATAGACCTCACGTTGGTCTAGTCACAAGAATTTTATTTTCTTCTTTATTCAGAAAAACTGACTGAGTATAGGCTAGGCTTAAGAGCTACCCACAGTCACTCCCAGTCCAAAGACCAGATTCCAGCTAAGATATGTAAATGGTAAAATCATTAACATAAACTAAGGCTTTTAGAGTATGACATACAATTTCTCAATTATTTTTTCGCTTTCTATCCTGAATATTCCAGAAACTGGATATGTCCATGTAAACTAGAGTTGTTAAACACAGTTTTGATCAACACTGAATCATTTCCCGATGATCACAGCCACACACAACACTCCGGAGCACAGTTGTACTCTAGAATGTCAACAATCCACCCTTCACAGAAATTATTCTTCTCACCTCTGCAATTTGTTCTGGACTATAGATTGCTGTAGTGTTTTTAGAAAATAGAGTTTTGGGGGACAGTATGCAAGTAATCTCATTTGAATCTGTCCTAGAATCCCAATACAGCTTCCTTGGGGAAGAATGGAAAGAGGACTGCCAGATCAAAGAGTCAATGGCAGAGGGGAGGTCCCTAGAAGATCCACAGATGGTATTTTTGAATGATAGAAACTGATTTGGCCAAACCAAGTATTTGGTTTAAAAAAAAAGCAATTACTGATACTGTTAGATCTGGCTCTTATATTTGCCTGTGCTCCACTTTTTAATCAGCCTTCAAGGCAAGCTTGCTGAGAAAGATGACCTAATTCTTCTCAAGTGCGTCTCAATCTCTCTGTCCTCTGAGCTTGGGGCAGAATTAGACTAACTCAAAAGAACAGTGAAGTGATCTAGAACCAGACCAAAGGTAGCATTTGGTGCCTTTTTAAAGAGCATTTCATGACAAGATCTCTTTAATTCCTAACAGATTTCTATTTGTATTCTCATATTATAGGAAGACAAGCAAGACGTAAAAAGTTTCTCTGAGATCTGATAATCAGTGAATAGTGGAGCCAGGTCTCCTAACTGCCACCTTCAAGTGCCCCTCCCGCTCTACATCCTGCTTCCTCTGCCACCTGGCTGGGAGATCGAGGTCAGCTCAGTCATAATCAGTGTTAGGGCTATGTTCTGCACCCCTCTCCCTACATTCCCTCAAGGTTAGTTAGATAGCCCAGAATCCTGATTGTATGGGAGACAACAGTAAATAATAACTCTGCTTACCCCCTCTAGTTTCACTGACAGGGTGGGTGGCGTCAAGTCATAAAACTGCTTCCAGCAGAGGCATGCTTACAACTGGCACCACAGCAGCATGCCAGCTAGCTACCCCAGTACACTCCCAGAGCCTACCCAGCAACCATGGCCAAGTGCAAGGGTCAGTAAAGCTGACAAGCCCAGGATACTCTGTTGAACACTTTGCCCCTTGAGTGGTACAGTGTTTGCTCTTTGGTCAAGAAAGTCTAAGAAGTTCCAGCTGAAACTCTACAACAGGAAAATGGTCTTGTTAATTCAAAACAGCTTGGAATCCATTCCAGCTCTTCCTAAACTTCCAAGATATGGGGGAGGAAATTCACTTGGTTTTTACAATATATTTTCCTAGGCAGATTGCCATCACTGTCATAATGACAGAGAAACTGAAAAGTTTGTTCTAGTGGCCACAGATGGCTAGGTACCCAACCTCCTCATTTACCCTCTGGAGTCTGGTTTGGCTATACACCTATAAAGCAGCTCCTTCTCAGCAATCCCACAATGTTAGCAACTCTAAACAGTTGTTCCTGGAGGGGTCAGGTAATACCTTTGAGTGAATAGAGAGAATAGGATTCAACAAGGAGGAATTGTTCTTATAGTCATACACTTGCTGATAAAGGGGAAAAAACCTGGTATTCTGGACAATTGGATAGCACCATGTAGTATCAGGTCCATAAACTGATGAGTTGTGATGGGTATGGTTAAAGAGTGGGTTGGTCAAGTAGGAAGGTAGATAGATTTTTTAATTATTATT